ATATATATATATATATATATTCTTATATCTCTTCAAAACAAATAATTATCTTAGCAATGATATTCAGTGATTATGACTCATAATTCATCCATTAACTTATAAATTTATTTTTCTATCATATTAAGTAATCTTCACTGTAGTAAAGAAAAAACTTCTACAAACTCAGGATAAATATTAAAAAAAAAAAAAAAAACATTTTTTGGAATGGTCCTTGTTTGTCATCAATTTACATGCAATTTTTAAAGAAAAACGTAATGCATATACTAAATCAGGATAAATTTAATATTTTAACATTTAAGTTAATCAATATTATTTTATTTTTTATTTTATATATTAAAGATACCGTGGCCAGTATCTTTAATATGATCCTATATTTAAAAAAAAAGCAGTAAAATAATTTTAGCATGTTTTGTTAAATTGTTTATTTGAATATTTTGTGGTTAATGACTATTTTTAGAAACAAACTTAAAATTTTATAATTCCTGTAAAGATAAACTTTACATATACCTTTTCTTTAATTTTCTCCCAGATCACTCTTGTCATCTCGTCACCATCAAGCTCCACAACAGGCTTTTCCACAGGAATTCGTTTATCCGCCCCATCTAATAAATAGAATGACATGGCATTAATATTTCCTGAAGTAAAAAATAATCTAATTTTATTAATGTAAAATATTTTTATCATTACTGTGTATGATAACATGATAAAAATGAAAAGTTGTTTGCAAGCATTATTTTGTTAAAGATATACCAAAATATACCTTTAATTCATAAAATTGTATGATAAACCAAACCTTTGAAAATAAATTGTTGACCTTTAATACGTTATTAAATAATTTTGTAATTCCTTTAATATATTAAGAAATACAATAATCATAATTCGATAAAGATTTTATTTAATATAATTGAAAATTTCAAATTTAATCACATAGTTAATTCCGAAAGAGTTAAGTAAAAATAGGCATCTTCACGTCAATGTAAGATGGGAATTTTGCCAAAATTCTTTATTCGAGAAGCCAAAGCATATAAAACAAAGAGATAAGTATAGGTTATATTAGGGTTCACACATCTCAAATTTCCAATTGAATGCATTTTACTAGTTTTAGAAAATTAAGAAGGAATAAACTACTACAAGAGTGAAATGTTTTAATAATAAATTTATAATCATTTAGGTTTTTTTATTTGAATTAAATTTTTTAAACAATTTTGTTTTTAACAGCTGTCCTTGAGTAACAGAAAAAATTAAATGTTTTAATTAAAAAGATTAAAATAATTTTCGTTTTTATATTATAAAATTTATTTTTTTTGTTTTTGAATGGAAAAAAATTTTTAGTAAAATAATTTTTATAATAAATAATCAAATTATTAATTATTTATTTAAAATATGAAAAGATTTATTATTCCTCATTTTAAACAAATTTATTAATTAAATAACTTGAATTTTTAAATATTAAACTGAAAATTTTGAATATTAATTTCCACATAAAAATAACATAGTAAATTTTGTTTCTGTGTGAGGGTAATTAATAGCCAATCAGTGAAAATGATTCAAAAACGGGGATGAAGAAGATATGAATGTGGCATAAACAAATTCTTCACGTGACAAAATAGATATTTAAAAAAAAATTATTATTTTTGTTTTTTAATAATTTAATAATAATTTAAATTTTATTAACACATTTAATAATTTAATATATCTTCTTTTATTTATCCAAATCATCACTTCGGCGCTCCAATAGAAACCATGTGAATACAAAGTACTGTTTTCCTCAAAGATTTTCCTGTTACAAATTCGTGTGTCACATTCCGACGAGAGTTACTCTATTATTAAAAAAATAATATGTACAAGAGAAATTTGCACACTTTATGCATTATGATTAAAAGAAATAATTCAAAGTCCAACTTTGCTGTTTTGATATGTAATCACCTTAACAGCACTTGACAAAGAATGTTATATATTTTGGTAAGTTCTCGTCGTTTATTATTATTTTTGACAAATAAATTAGAATTTAAAGCTTGTAATGTATGGTATATTGTATTTCGATAATCTGTACTATTACACGGGAAATTTCCGTTAAAAATTATTCGCTATTGTCTACTTCCAATACGAAATTTTGCCGATAGAGGCGCTATTTCTACATTTCTCTTAGATATTAGATAATGTTCATGTTAATAATAAAAATACGTTTTAAATTTCTTATATTATTAAATATTTTTTTTATTATTTGACTTAATTACGGAAATAAAGTTAATTTTTCTTGATAAAATAAATAATGCCATGTACCACTTTATAATTGTTACCGATAATTCTTGAGAGCTAGCAATTTCTATAACGTTTTAACGGCATCTTTTATTATGTACAAATTATAACGTTTATTGTAGATTTAAATTTAAATAATTTATTAAAAATTCAAATAAATACTGCATTAATTATGATAAATAATAAACTTGGCTCGCTATTTTGCCATATTAAAGTACTGTATAATGGAACGGTTTATGTTCCTAAGACAAAAGATGAAAAAAAATTTGTTTCAATCATGTTGATAAAATTTATTCAACTGTGAATGATTTTTATAAATATTTTCCAAATAAAATTCTCGGTATACTAAATTCTCTAATAATAAAGCTTTTCATTACATGAATTCATTTTAAAAATATATTAAATAATAGTATAATGATTATTGATGCGAAACCGACTGTAATATATAACATAGCATTGTTAATTATTTCGTATTTTATTAAATATTTTGCACGCGTTATATAAAAATGTTTAAATTATAATTATTACTATTTTAAACTAAAATTATAATTATATTTGTTTAGCGACACAGATGTTATTGTGGAAACATTAAAAAGAAACTGAAATATTTATGTCAATAGGTCTGGGTCAAGGACAAGCAATAGTACATATCGATCTCTTGGGCAATTTTCTTTTCTTTCGAGTGATTTATAATATCATGATAACGATTACAAAATTATGTGAACAAAGATAGTGTTATGTAATCAAATATTCACTAAATAACAGCTTAATTACTGTTATTGTATTCTTTATAAAAATACAACAATACTTATTACAACGGGCAATAAAAATACGATGGAAAGATGTTTAAAGTAGATCAAGCAAGTCATTCCACTCGTTTTTAGGTCAAGTCGCGATATTGTAATTCAAACCAAAACGGTTATAAATGCTGTTTAGCGTTTCCTGTTAACGTGTTAACTAGCAACCTTTCAATGTCGTATATATATATATATATGACCGGAGGAATTAACAAATTAGCCTGTCATTCTCATAATACATAAACACTGTCATTGTAGTCACCATTCAAATGTTTGTATCGTAAAGTAAAACGTACTGATAAACAGAATTTAATATTATTTATATAATGTTTAAACAATAATTTCAGATAATGTTCATTGGGTAAGCAGGATGTTATCAATTTAATAATCTTTCTAACATTTGTTTACAATTCATAAAGATATTAGTTTAAAGAGTTTCATTTTTTATAACTAACTTATTTATTCCAGATAATTTTTTATAACAATTAAAAATAATTTGGTTTTGAATAACATATATGTGCTGATTTTAAATAAATTCCCTGTTTTTAGAAGTACAGGCTATATGTAATATTATAAAGTACATTTCATAACATTAAACAGATTTTGCTGTTATGAATTCTATAGTATCATTATCAGAGGCTAAAGATCTATTATAGTTTCAAAATACTAATTTAAAAAGTTAGTTTTAATATTTTTTATATTTTAATATTAAAATGATAAACAGAATCATTAGAGAGTATAAAACCCATACAGTACATGTAAAAAAGTGATAAAATTTAGATAGTGGAACAATAAAAATGTATTCATTATCATCTTTTAATTTATCGTTAAAACTTTTGAATGGAATTGAATATATTGTGCAATATTTTCAATAATGATAAAACATTTTGAAAGATAATAAGAATTAAAAGATTTTACACAGATAAAAAAAATGAGTTTATAACTATTAAGAATTGAAAATAAAATCTTTAGAATTAAAATATTTACCAAAATAATTTTAATTACAAAAATTATTCAGAATAAGCTTTGTGATTATAATTCTTGATAAGCAACTTAAAAGCTACACTTTAAATTTTAATTTAGAAAATCCCATATGGTCACGTTTAATTTTTCTCATATAAAAAAAATATCTTTTAATCAAATTAAATTGTTTTAAAGAAAATCTGGGCATATTTATTCTACGTTAAAGGTTAGTATATTATCTTAGGGCGTTATAATATAGGAAAAAAGAATTCATTTTAGTGAATTTCCATATTCTATATTTAAAAACGTCCTGTTATTTCTCAAGTGTTATCACAGGATATCCTGATTTGCCTAGTTCAAAATGCACTTTAAAAAATCGATTTTTTAAGATTCATTTAACATATCTTATATACCGAAAATATATTTGTATCAAATTTTGCGATAAGAATTATTAAATGTATAATTTTTAAGTAACGTAGATAATATAACATTGATCTAATTAAATATAAATTTCTATATTTAAATAGTAAGTAGGCTACATGGAATAATATAACAAAGGAAATGCCGAAAATACGTAACTAAAGAAGGCGCGCATCCCGATACAAAGGAGTGAAGGATAGGCTTTTTAATTTCTTTATTCAAGATACCACCACGTGTCTATAGCTGTCATATGCTATTCTAATGTGCTGAATGAAATCGACTATTTTTAGTTATTTTTTTCTAATAGCGTCTATCGGCAAACTATTTAAGTGCATATTTAAGAAAAAAATAAAATCGAGGCGATTTTTAATTACTTCATGCGGCATCGATGCATTTTAAAAAGCGAATATATATACATATTTTTTTAATACACGTTTACTTACATTTTCGGTTTTGAAATAGGTTTAAAGCCGTAGCAGACGGGGCCGTAATTGAAATTTGGTTTCCCGAAGAAAAAATAAAACGTCCAATTCTAATCAACGATACCGCCATAGTCGAAAAGCACAAAACGCAAAATGAACGAAAACCTTAAGCCTGTGAATAGCCACGCCGGTAATGAATGCAAACGTGATTGTATAGTAACCAATACGTTACTCCGTATCACCGAATAATTAGATGCGTAGAAATATTACGTAACGCGTCATTGGTCGGTACGGCATTAGATTTTTAGCTAATGATAGATCGCGTTTTAGAAACGAAACGTGTGCTAACAAAATGTATAACGATTGGCAATTGGTCGAGGGTTTTCGTGAAAGCCGGGGTTCGCCGGCCGGATGTCTTCTGCTGGCAAATGCGAGAGAAAGAAGTTTAAGAGAAAATTTTATCATCATATAAGTCGATTAGTTCGGTAAGACATTCCGTTTTGCGAGATTAAAATTTACGAATATATATATTAAACGTTTTACTCCGTGTAAACACAATAGTCTTTATCTCAGTTAGCATATTGGCATTTCAGCGGATCCTTTTTTATCTTTCGATTTTATCACTAGCAAAAGTTGATGAAAACGATCAGTTTATCGTTTCTTTCAAATAAACACGTGTTCTTTTACTAACTTATATGTCAATTTCAAACAATGATGAATGAACGTGTGTTTGCTTTTATATTAAGATTTAAATATGTTCGCTTTACTCTGTTTAATTTTCCTTATCTCATTTCTGACTGTTGTTTAAAATGCATTTACCTTTCTCTTTTCAGCATTGTAATTGTTTTCTTGTATAAAGTATAATCAAAGTGAATTTGATCCGTTTTAAAACATATTGCTTATTATTAAAGGTGCAAAAAATAATAGATACATTTAACCTACATAATTTAAAATTATGTAATATAATGCATCACACTTGTTTACTAATTTTATTTAATCATCTACAATAAATTATTAAGATTTAATTACAATTATAGTGCAATTAAATGTATAAATTTGTATTAAAAAAATTTTGTGCATGTTATTAAAAATATATTTAAGTGCATTTAAATTTTGTTGTTTTTATAATTTTAATTTTTTCATTTATAAATGTGAAAAATAAATTTTATGAAATTACAATAAATATTGTTTTTTTTTAAATAATTAGGAGAGAGAGAATTTTATTTATTTTTAACAATATTTGTTTGAATTCTAAGAGAGATTATTATATTAAAATAATATTTACTTCCTGTTTTATAAGTTAAATAAAATCAATATTCTAACTTAACATCTATCATATTTCAAGGTTTCAGATTTTATTAATAACATCATCTAATAGAAATTGATATAAATAGAAAAAAAAATTCAAGTAAATTTTCCTTACTGGTTTTGTACTATTGATTTTAAAGAATTAAAAGCTATGGGTTTTTTTTTCTTCAGTAACACATCACACAAGGAGTATAGTATTTGTGTGATGTGTTACTGAAGAAAAAAAACCCATAGCTTTTACTTAGTATTCGAACCAATCTTTTTTAGGCTATTGATTTGTCCATTAGTTCACCTGAAAAAGAACTATAAGTTTGAAAATGTTAGTGAACAAAGTTATATTGAAATAAGCACTGTTTTGGTTTGGAGTTGGAAGTAGGTTGTATATAATTAATAAATATCAGAAAAATGTTTTATAGAATTCTGCCAGCCCTTTTCTACAAAGAAATATTATATTTTTAATTGGGTTGGGATTGTCACCTGAGGACATCATTTTAAACTGTTTTGCATATTTGTGCAGAGGCATAGCCTCTAAAGAAAGGTTGTCTCTGCAATGGAAATAGTTGTTCCTGGTGATTTGACATGGCAAGCAAAATTGGACTTGTATTCAGATGTATTTTACTTTTTATTAAATCGTTTTACAGAAGTTCAAAACTCAACATCCATTTTACCAATTAAAAATAGTATTACAGTGGGTGATCGGTTAACGAACATAATGTGTTCCAAGACTTTGTTTGTAACCAATTATCGATTTACCATAGGTTTTTATGAGAATTTGATTAATTTGTTCTGGAAACTTCAAAATATAAAAATATATACTTTCTTACTATGTTTATTTATATGTAATAATAAATATACATATATACACAGTCTTGCATTTTTATTAGTCATGTTTTTTCCGTTTGTGGGGATTAAAAAATCTGTCTAATGTCGATTGCTTTTCTCTCTTTAGGATTTTTCATAAGTATTTTAAATAGCATTGTAGGCCAAATTGTAGAAATCCCCAAGCCTATTAACCTCAATCTGGTTTGGATGCTTTTCTAAGACCATTGTTCTAACATCCTCATACTTCAAAAGATCTTTAATAGCAGATATCAGCATTAATCCTCTTTTTCAGAAGAAAACATATCTCGCTGAGTTTCTTGGTGTTCTTCATTCAAGAGTTCTTAACGTTCTTCTGTCGTCGGATCCATTTCAGGTTCCATTATGAGCCCTTCAATGTTCTTTATTTCTCAGATGTAATTTTTGTTACTCCTTAAGCTGCTTGAGTCTTCTTGATTATACTGTACCTTTCTTAGATAAGATTGAACTGTGGCCTACTGTAGACCTGTTCAAGCCATACAGCCCAGCAACATCAGACATCTTCTGCCCACTTTCTAACTTTTCTATTATACTCTCACCTTTCGAAAATAAAAACCAACGCAAAACTTAATGAGTGCCCGCCTGACAGTCTTGCAAATACTATAAAGGAATTGTTTCTGTAAGAAAAATAAAAGGCTGGAATTACAAGGGAGAGTTTCAAAGTTTGGCGGAATACTATCCGATCAGTATATACTGGGTTGAGCATCGACATCAACATCTCTTGTGCTCCGAAAAGTTTTGAATTGTTGCCTGAAGACAAGAGAAGACCAATCAGTACTCATTATTTTATGTCGCTTCTTCTTGTGTTTGTTCTGTGAGGTGTTTGTTATCCGATCATGTGTTCGTTGTCTGAACACAAAAATCTTTCACGAAAGTGTTCGTTATTCATTTGTTTGTTAATCGATCACCCACTGTACTTTCATATACAAATTTACATAACCTCCTAACAATATAAACCTATTAGACTTCTAGATGTCATTGTGATGCTCCTTTTAATCTTATGTTCAGTGATCTCATAGTCACCCTGATGTAGTATAGGTTGTGTACAATTCTATGATCCGTAATGGAACTTATTCTTAAAATTTAATCTTTTCCAGAATTTGTACACAACCTATACTACATCGGGACAACTATGAGATCGTCAAATATAAACCTATATAAGATTTTTTTTATAAAATTTAACTAAGCTGAAAGAGATAACTATTTGATCAAATATGAGAAAATAAAAACTTTTTATAAAAATAAAATATGTTAATTTCATTAAGAAATTGATTTTTCTTTTAAAATTTAGATATTAAAAAAACTATATGACTTTAATAAAATCAAAAAATTTAATTAGTATTTGTGAATTAAATATTATAATTATAGAACGTTGGTTCACAAATATAACTTTTATGTTGAGTAATGTTTTTTGATTTGTTCAGTTGCTAGATGATATTGTAATTCAGAAAGGAATGTTGTAATATTTATTGTATTATTAAATGTTTATTTTTCTTTATAGATATTAAATATACAGTATGGTGATCTGGGAAGAATTATCGGCAGATACCATATAAAACAAAATTCCATATGAATTTGTGTTTCATTTCAAGTATTCTCATTTATGCAACTGTTTACAATCAACAGAAAATTGTTGAAATGTATTTGATGCCACCCTCCCATTGAAGTTTTGGTTTTGTTACTAGTGTTAAAATTTTTGTTTAAGTTTTACACAACTGGCATACCGAGGCACAGAATTTTTTTTTATTGGCTTTATATCTATATAACAATCTTCTATTTTCTTCATTTTCATAATTTTTTTTTTTCGATATTGGCTGTAGAAAAAATTATTTCTAATTTTTATATCATTACTTTTGTTTTATAATNACATATATATATATATATATATATTAAAAGCAAAATGTTCTATTCCCATTGAAACTGAAACCAACTCTTTACAAAGGAGCATGTAAGTAGATCATATCAGGTCACAGGTGGTGATCTGATGTACAATTTGTTCCTCAAAAGAACTGCCTGTTAACTTCCTCTGTGGACTCAGCATGAATTTGTGGAAAGGAAGGAATTTGTGTAGGAATAGGAACTTCAACTCCAAGTCAAAAGTGAAGTCTTTTAATATATATTATATTATATTATATATTAAAAGCAAAATGTTCTGTCACAGCCACACACAAATAATGCAAATTTAAAAATTAATTTAATTTGATTTACATTTTGAAAATTTCAAAATAACTTTTAAACTGTTTTTAAAAACATTTTAATTTTCAATTGATTTGATTTTAATCAGTTTTGATTTGGTTTCAGTATAAAGGTCAGAGTTTTAATTTATTTAGTATTAATTTAGTTTCAGTTTTTATAACTGTGTTTAATAATTAATTATTAATTTATTATTCATTTTTAATTTTGCTTGCATTTTTTAACCCTTAATTACAATTTTTTTAATTAATTGCAACTCTTTTTCTTTTGCAACATAACTATTGAAATTGTGTTAGCTTTGTTTCGCACAAAATATGATTAAATTTAGTAAAAAAAATTTAAATAATTTTAATTTCATTAATTTTTATTTTAAATTTGCCTGCTTTTTAAAAATTTTTTAAGTTAATTTTGTGTGAGTTAACATTAATTGAACTATTGAGCTACCTAGTATACATTAATAGTCAGAATTACCCCTCAGCATTTAAGGATTAACTTAACCATTTAGTATCTGTAAAAAACATGAGTCTGCATATATCAATCTCATATAAAACAAGATTTTACTGTACTATGTTTGAAGTTTTCTTTTATCGTTGAACAATTTTTATACCTTAAGTGGTTGAATGATTATGATAACTAAAGTTGGGAAGTTGAAGAGCTCAATCTTTTTGTTATTTGTACAGGTGACTGTTTTAAAGCATCACAGGATAATTCTTTATTTATATATATTTATTAAGTTTACAATTGATTGGTGGGAATATTAATTTCCCCTTTCCCTTTATTTTATTTTTTTTTTTTTTAGTGCTGAGCATTTTTTGGTAGTTTTCCTTTTTTTGCACTTAAATTGGGTATTTTATGTGTTTTTCTATTTATAAATCTGTTATTAAATTAAAAATTATTAAGTTTTTAATCAGTAATTTTGTTTTATAATTTGATATTTAAATACCCTCTTAAAAATCCTTTAAAATCTGACTGAATGAATGTAATACTAAATATATAATCTCTACTCTACTAAATACATAATTTTGATGCCTGCTGGACTAATCTTGAGGTTGGTAGAGATTATACATTTAGTATATCTTCTTAAAAAGTTTAATGGCCCAATGTTAACGAAGTTTGAAATTGAAATTGTTAACAAGTTTCAGGCAATTTAAATTTTAAGTTTGATTCCAGTATCAACAGTTAAATGATTTCTAACTGATCTCATAGGATTCATGCCTATTTAATATTCAGAAACTGAGATTGTGCTTTTAATTGGTTGACAAATTTCACTTTTAAACAGATTTGAATTTGAAAATTAACCCTTCCCAAAATTTCAAACATCTTGAAGTGATTGGTTAAGAAAAAATCAGTTGACTAACAGTGATTTTAAAAATAGTATAAATAGATAGTATTTATTTGGTATCTCTACTTTCTAACAAAGTTCTGTGCTGTTTTATCATATAAATGCAGGGTGTCATAAAGTAACTTGAACAACTAGCAGTGATGTCAGGTGTACAGAAAGCAAGGAGTCCATTGAAACTTTTACAAATAAACATAAATATCAACAACACATCATTACCAGGGATGGAAATCAACATCATATCCAGAACCTGTTACTGGTGTGTGTTCTGTGAATAATACAGTTTATCACTAATGTTTTTGAATTGTTAAATAGTTCTTCCTCAAGTGAAATATGCCGAATAACCAATGGAACACATAAAATAGAATGTGAATATTCAAATTAAATCGAACGTATGCCTGACGAAAGTCGTTACAATGGGCATGCACATTTCATAGATGATGTCAATTAAAGGTCGGTGTCCATAAGGACCTGCCAGGCAACAGATAAATTTAGCTCCTCCTTTTGGTTGATGCACATGGCATATTGGTTTGCTCTATAAATGGATAGGGACTCTAACCATCTTAGATGTTCACGGTGAGGCATAGTGAGGATGACCTTGGCTTGGTTAAATGCTGTCTCGATATTATGGTCAGACACATAAATAAGAAGGGCTGTGATGTGTCTACCATGCTGAAGGTCTGCTTGGTGTTCGTGTACTCTGGTTCCTAAGGTGTGTTATTGATGTAGAAATTTATTGATTAATTGATATTTTGATGATATTGATCACCTGTTATCGATTATCGCACAAAATTAAATTGTTTATATTGATTACAGGTTTCATGATATCAAACAGCACATTAATGTGGATGATTCCATTATTCACAAAGGTGAGGAAGGGATATGGTAACTGATGGTGGCATGACAACTTACCAGTTTAAAAAATTCCAAAGATATTAGTCAAAACTGAAGATGTTAATAAATAATTTTAAAGAGGAGGGAATTATGACTGACAAGAGTATTTTGAGATGTGAACTATATGATGTTACCATAAATTTAGATGAAAAGTATCTCTCTTCATGGATTAAGCAGCACATTAAAATATGTAGATCACATTACCAGCAGGAAAGAAAGAAGAACAAATAAAAGGGACAGAGTTTTATTTTAGCAACATTAAATTCTGTAAAGGACAATGCAAGCAAAAAGAATGAATTTTTATATGAACTGGCTATAGCTTTAATACAGTCAGGAATTGCTCTTAACATTCAGCATGCAAAAACTTTCTAGAAAAATATTACAAGCACTCAATCTCTGAACAAAGCACACTAAGGAAAAGCTATTTAGAACTTGCATATGAAGTTCAAAAAAATACAGGAAATAGTAGGAAGTAATCCAGTTTTTTTATTTGGATGAAATTGTGGATGTGCTAAAAAGGTACATGCTGAACATTCTCATTGATCTGCTAACAGGAGCCAGTACAACCCATGCTGTTAAGAGTTTACAAATTAGAAAGACAAATTCTATATCTTTATTCAGACCTTTCATAATTTGACACATGCATCATTGAACTCTATCATTCTGTATGAAAATGTTTAGTTACTTGTAACAGATCTAGCACCAAATGTGTGGTGTTAAGTGTATGCTTAAATATAAAGCTGATGTATCCAAATCTGTGACATATTGCTTGCTGATCACCTTAACAGGATATGTGAAGCAATTAGGACAGAATTTTATTGGGCTAACAATTTTATTTTAGAGCCTTTGATTAAATATCCTGTTTATATCTATCTATATAAAGAGATAATTAATTGGCTTACCACTCCCAAAACACCCTGTAATAACAAGGTGGGGCACATTGTTTCAAAGGCACGTGGCTTATTTTATGCTGACAATTTTTTATCTAGAGAAGCATTCATTGATAAACTGGACAATATGTTTTTTAAACATGCCAAAAACTAATAGGATGGATTTGTATTAGAGAAACTGTAATACTCCCTCAGCAAAAATTCAGATATTCAAAATATAATCAAGACTTGTGATATTTTATGGCTGAATTAACTCAGGATAATAAAAATAGCCTAAGTCTCTTCAGTCACAAAATCTGGAGTTTTTAGTGAAAACCAAATATGCTGCTATCACATCTTTAAATGTCAAGAGATCATATCTGCAAAGCAAGCCAAAAAGGATTAGCTATCAACTTCCGAGATTCAAGCAAAGTATCGGCAGCCTGGCGAGCAAGTATATTATAAAGTCAAGAACGATGGACAGCGGCAACTTACTTAAGGGCAGAAATTCTTAATTTAATGTATTTGCTAAACACATTGTGTATGTTTGGTATTTTATGTCTGTATTTTATTTTTATTTTTATTTTATATCCGGAACGTCATATTTTTAACGTTCTAATAGCTAATGTATTTATATAATGACAACCGTTATATAGAGATGGCGTTATTCCAGTAGAATATTATTTTTTAAAAAACGTTCCAAAACGCTTGTATCGTTAATTCAAGTTCGGAGTTCGATTTTTTCTGTTTTTCTTGAGAAAGGTCATTGAATATGACCGAAAACGTTAGAATTTAATAAATACGGCTGCATATTTAAAGGTTTTCCTGAGCGTGTTTTACTTAGTAAGAAATTGCAGTCTAGGATGAGTTGTCAAGAGATCATTTTTGCAGTTCAAAGAATTATTTATCTCACACCATCTGTGGCTGACCATAGTAAGTGTAAGAACAATTGTGTGTTTGCAAATACAGTGCTATTCTGTTTGTAAACTATGAAACTGAAAGATCAGATTCTGAAAATGACTAACTGATTCAAGTTTTCTATCATTTTCTTGAGTTTTACATCTATTTATATTTATGCAGAATAAAAATAGTTTTATTTTTATACATTTTTAAGAGCACTATTTTTTAATGAAAAATCCATCACTTTATTTTAATCCCTTTTTTAAAGAAAATATGCACCTCAACTTCCCAAGTATGGTAATAAACAAAACAGAGAAATGAACAAAACTTGGTGTCATATTTAAATTAAAATGAAACAAACTGCTTGTTAAGGAAGCAAAAAATCAGGATTTATTAGAAACATTTTTGGATTACTATTCTGCCAGACTCAGCTGTGACACTGGTCTAATCCACATGAGATGCTCTTCATTTTAGTTTGGTGTAGTTAGTTGAAGCTAGCCAGACTGTAGGCCAAAAGTATTATAAATCTTCATTTTCTGTTTCCTTATCAAGCAATTTGTGTTTAATTTTTATTCAACAACTCATAATATAATTAATACTGTTGATAATAAATGGAATATATTAATATTACAGTTATTTTATTAAGGAATTATTTTCCTTGTATGTAATGTTATAGGTGCTATGTCATGCAGTTTAGCATTTTAATTAGAAAAATAAAAAAGGTATATTTCAATACTAATAAGAAAAATTTTATTTAATAAGTCTGTTTTTAATACTATCTAAATTATTGTAATGTGTTTGATTTTAAAAATACTGTATATCTGTCATTTATGCTTCAATTACTTTTCCGAAAAAAAAGCAACTAATTAATGAGTTTCCTTTTATTTGTAAGTTATCAAGAAGATTGCCGTTTGTTTTTATTTGGAGTTTTAAAGCAAATGGAGATGCTTAGAATAGTATGTGTTTCATAATATAATAACCAAATGAATCTATTTTAATGCAGTTTGAGATAGTGAAGAAATCTTAATATATTAATAGCCATAGTTTCAAAATAAAATTTTAGTTGATAAAGCTTTATACTGAATGCAATGCAATTAATAAGTTATTCAGATACAGTGAATTTACAAATGTTGCTAAATGGTGGCTACATTCATTAGCCAAAGCAATCAAGTTGCAACCATAAGCTTAAAGAATTAAGATACAATTGGGTTGTTAAACTAAGTGCTGCTAAGTGATGCTGTTAACAGCATTGCTAAACTTTTTTTTTTTTTTTTTTTTAAACATTGCATGCAGCAATCTTCATAGCAGTCTCACTGGTTTGAGGTTAAATCTGCAGTGCTCATTTCAGTTACTTTTTTTTACTGCAACAAGGATGGCTTTCTCCAAAAATGTGCAAAGTTGAATTCTTATATGATGTGACAGTAAAGTTATAAGGTTTTTATCACCATGAATCAATATTCTGTTTGCACTAAATTTTTATACATTATGAACAATATATTAATTACATTTTTTTACAATCAGGTAGAAAGAAAGTTGCTGTATGTATGAGAATCTGTGATGTGAATTTTTCATCTATAGTTTCTTCAATTAATCTGTGATTTAGTATATACAGTCAGTAAGTATATGCATAAATTTATTTTTAGTATTAAAATTTAAATTAAATATTTAAATCAACATTGCTATCTGCAGTATATAAGTGATAAATACATCTGTCTTGTTATAATAAAAAATACAAGTAAATGTAACAATTTCTGAATTAACTGAATGGTATAAATTCAAAATATAATCTTTGTATTAAGGAATTTTTTAATGTAACAATTAAAGAATTTATATAATAAAAAAATATGCTTACATAATATATGAATGCACTTTATTAAAATATAATTAAAAATGGAAGCTATTATAAAAATATAAAATAAATATATTTTTTTTGAAATTGTAAAATAGCTTTTTATGCACATTTCTTATAACTATTGACACTGATTACAACTATTAATACTATAATGAAAGAATTTTCATTATAGTATTCATTTTCTTCATTACACCAATTTCATTTTTTTACATATCACCAATAGTTTTTAACAATTATATATTAATTTTTATTTAACATTAGTGGGAAAGATTAATGAAGCTATCAAAAATGATGTTTTATTTACCAAATAACAAAAGAAATTCTTTTTTGAAGTGATTCTATATTAAAGTTTTTAAAAATGCACTGCAAGCAGTATATAAATAAATCAAACAGTCATAATTTGCATTCTATTTTTACATTATTAATGAATTTTCTACTAAAGCTATAATTTTTTATAAATGTACTGTCAATATAATTTTTAAAAAAATATTAAACAATGAAAAAGCTTCCAATAAACTATTATTGAAACATTGATTCAAATATTAATAAATAAAAAATTGTATAAATATTAATATATAAATTATAATATATTTTTATAGGTAAAGAAATTATAAACCATCAAAATATAACATAATTAATATATTTGTTAATTGACCAATATAAAGTGAAAGTAAATTTATATCTTTGACCATAATTAACAAAATGATTAAAGATACATCATTACAAGAGATAATTTGTTGTCATCTTTTAAAATACAGTGGTACCTCAGGATACGAAATTAATCCGTTCCGAAACTGAGATCGTATC